AAATCATAAGTGATGCACCAGTCCTAAAGTCCAGTAAGCCTGTGGAATAGCTAGACTTGCAATCTAAAACAACTCAGAAGAAAGATTAGCAGCAGCACTGATGGAAAACTTGTAGCTCACAGCATTTGCTAGTAGACTTTTGACAGAACCTGGCAGACCAAGATGTGCGCAAACAAGAAAAACTCTTATGAAGCACAAGTTAGACATGCACTCTGATCACAAACTGTTACAAAGCCTGAATAAGAAGCCCCTGCTGAGTGTACCCAGGCAACTAAAATGCACCCTATTTGGATTTCCAGGACGGTGATAACGGGGAAGGGGACTGAAAGAAGGGTCTGAACAGACTTTGGGCATGGTGTTAGCCTTGCCTGGGCTGGGCAGACAAGAAAGCAGCTCTGCTTAGACTGTATGTGGAACAGCGTTAGGTGTGGAGAGTGAAGTGCTCTATAACAAAAAGTGACTGTACAGCTTTGAAATCCCATCTCTGGGGATGAGTTGGAACACACACCTGTTCAGTCTTAATGACAGATGTTATAGGGTCATAATTTCTGTGAGGCAGACTACAGACACTGAGGCACAATTGTGCCTGGGAATTGTGTTTGGAAAAAAGTACCTTAGGGTGCCTTTACACGAGCAGCAAGGCTGCTCCTCTGTGCTGGCGTTCTAGCGCCTCAGAGCAGACTTGATTGAGTCTGCTGGAGCTTGGCAATTGCCACACTCCAGCAGCCTGCTGTGTCTCAAACAAGCTTTAGTTCAAGTGCCCCCACCGCCATTTTTAAGTGCGGGGACGCTGATACATGACATGCAGTGGTGCTTTAATTAAAGTGGATCCCAGAGCTGCTCTAATTAAACTACCCTCCCCCCACGCCCAGAGCTCATGTAAAAAAAGTGCCCTTATGTTTCTCCAGTGGGCAAAGGGTACACTGCCTCATGATCCACACATTCAGTGCCAAATAGGGATCTGGACAGAAAACATCCCCCCTGGGTTTTCACAAAGCAAAAGGAAGGGAAAGTCATCCAAGAGCCTGATAGCAAAAGACAGTATAGTATAAACAGGTTCAAAAAGGGTCCATTAATAGCTGTTAAATAGAATAGTCAGGGATGTTGCTTCTGATATCCCTAAACCAAGGATGCTTGATGCCAGAGAGGTTATGACAAAGTATGGATTATATACTTGGCAAGTCCTATTCATACAGTCTCCGTCTAAAGCAGGGGTGGGTAAAATGCAGCCCGCAGGCCGGACATGGCCTGCCAGGCTATTCTATCTGGCCCTTGGGCCCCTAAAAAAATTAAAATTTATCTGCCCCTGGTTGCCTGTCATGTGGCCCTCGATGGCTTGCCAAAACTCAGTAGGTGGCCCTCTGTCCAAAATAATTGCCCGCCCCTGGTCTAAAGCATCTACAGCTTGCCACTCGGAGAAAAGATACTGGGTTAGGATGTTAGGTGGTCTTACCCACTATGGCACTTCTTGCGTTCGTATGGCAATAGAGACAGTCTAGGACAGGGGTAGGCAACCCCCAGCATGGGTGTCAGCGTGGCACACAAAGGCATTTGTTTGCATTCGTGCCTTGGGGCGGATGGCAGGGAGGGCACCGGGGCCACACTACCACAACAAGGATTGGGCCCCTCGCGGCTCCCCTGCTGCCTGCCTCCGCGGAGCGCGCCAACGTCGTACAAGCGGAGCTTGCAGGCATTCTTGGTGCTCTCTTGCTGACCCCCGGTCTGAGACCACTGCAGCAGAGATACAAAGAGCACACCCAGACAGACGGACACATGAGGCCAGACGTTTTTATTTTCCCCGAGGGCCTTATTCAAGTCCAAGAACTTCATCCAAGAAGGCAGCAAACTTTTCCGGCCGCCCAGGAGGAAAGGGCTTCAGGAGTGACAAATCCACTGACTGCAACGTCTCGGCGAGCGTGCAGCAAGTGCAGTAGACGAGGTGCCCGTCTCGGCAGAGCTGCCTGGCCAGTTCCAGCTGATGATTGTCCATCAGGGTTTCGTTAATCACCACCACCAGCGGCTTGCCCTCTCCCAGCGTCTCCAAGCAGCTGCCCGCGCCCGCGTGGCTGATGACCAGGTCAGCTTGGCGCAGGTCTTCGGCCAGAGAGTCCTTGAAGCGGAACACTTCGAGGGTGAAGTCGGGGGTGCGTACGGGCCGCGGGGCCCACGTGCCCCGGCCGATCTGGAGCACCAGCCTGCCGTAGCCCAGGCCCCGCAGCACCTGCAGGCACGGCGCGGCGGACACGGCCGCGATCAGCTCGTCGAAGCAGGTGGTGCCCACGGTGACGAAGGCCGACTTGGTGGCACCGGGCGTGGACCGGGCCTCGAGTGGGCAGCCCCCCGGGCCTGGGGGAACAGAGGAGACAGCCATGTCCTTTAAGGGAGCGGGCCTCGCACCCAAACCGGGCACGGGCCTGGGCCCGGGACTGCGGCCACGAGGCGCGCGGGCCCGGGGGAGGAGGAGGAGGAGCCCGCGACCAAGATGGCGGCCGAGAAGCTGCGGAGCAGAGTGGGCGCCGCCTTCCGCCTCCACGGGCTGCTGCTTCGCGCGTGAGTGCCCGGCCGGCCCCTGCCCCCGCGCGCACAGCCCGGGCCGCGGGCCCCGGAGGGAGGGAGGCGGCGCGGGGGCTCGGCCACTTCCCCCGGCCCGCACCCGCGCTGCGCTGTCGGCCCCGTCGTGACACGGGTGCGGGGAGCAGCGCGACCACGACCCGCCCGGCTGGCACGGGGCTGCCTGGCTTCGGGGCTTTACACCCCGTGTTGTCCCCGGGGACCGGCGTGCGGCGGGGGCTGGCTCGCAGCTCCTTTCCCAAGGGAGCAACGGGACTGGGTGTGAGGAAGAGATCCCCGATTTTTAAGATTTGGTCCAAGTCGGAGAATATTTTCCCCGTGTATTTTTCTTTCCCTTGACTTCCTTCTCCTGCTTTTCTACTCATCTTTTTCATGCCTTTTGCCCCCTTCCCCTTCCCACGTAGAATGGGTGTAAAGACATCAGAGAGTCCAGCGAAGGAAACAGCAATGGTTGTGGGCTGGGGGACAGCGCTTGTGGGGAGAGGCTGAGTGAAACGGGCTGATTTAGTCTGGAGAAGAGAAGACCCAGGGGGACTGAATAGCAGCCTTCACCTCCCTGCAGGGGGGCTGCAAAGAGGATGGAGCTGGACTGTCCTCAGTGGGGGCAGATGACAGGACAAGGAGCAGTGGGCTCCAGCTGCAGCAAGGGAAGTTGAGGTTGGAAATCAGGAAAAACTTTCTCACCAGGAGGGTATTGTAGAAAATGCGGGTTGGAAGGGACCTCCAGGGGTCATTTAGTCCAACCACATCCTCAGTGCGGGACCAGCCCCAAGCAAATCAACCCAGCTAGGGCTTTGTTGAGCTGGGTCTTAAAAGCCTCCAAGGATGGAAAGTCCACCACCTCTCTAGGTAACCTGTTCTAGTGTTTAACTACCTTCTTAACAAGAGAGGTTTTCCTCATATCCAAACCAAACTTCCCTTGCTGCAACTTGAGCCCATTGCTCCTTGTTCTTTCATCTGCCCCCACTGAGAACAGTGACTATTTTAAATAGTCCCTACCCTGTTCTTCCACCACTGCAGGCTGTTCACCTCCTCCCCAAACTGCTGCTTGGTGCAGTAGCTTGTGAAGACTGAGGTGAAAGGCACTTCAGCTTTTTCTACATCATTTGTCACCAGGTTGCCACCCTGATTCAGTAAAGGACCCACACTTTCCCTGGTCCTCCTCTTGTTGCTGTAAAGCACTGGAACAGATCACCTAGAGAGGTGGTGCAGTCTCCATCCTTGGTGGTTTTCAAGACCCAGTTTGACAAAATTTGGGCTGGGATGATGTGGTTGGGGCTGGTCCTGCTTGGAGCAGGGGGTTGGACTAGATGTGACCTCCCGAGGCCCCTTCAACCCTCATTTTCTATAATTGTGTATTTCTTTGACCTTTCATCTTATGGCATTGCAGAGACACTAAGAGGAAAATTATTTGGATAATGTTCTGAACATTTTATTTACACCACAGCCTTAGCGCCGTATACATTTAAATAACAGAAGACTCTTCCAAAGATGATACTTTATTTATAAAAGGTCAAACTTGAAGTAGTCTTCTCTAAAAAGTCCACACGGGGTTTGGAGGGGTGGGAAAGAGGTAGGACAGGATTATAGTATGAGCATTTTCCCACAGATCAGGTTGCTAGGGCTTTTGCTTCATATTTTTGGGGTTTTTTAGGGATTTCATTTTGGAGACTCTTGACTGATAAGGATGCAGGACTAGGCTTGTTATTTCCACCCTTTTCCTTTCAAATAGCCACAAGCTGTATAACATTTTATGTACATCAACTGATATACTATAGTAGTGTAGTGCTGTAAAGTACATATTTTGTTTACTGACTATTCATTTCCTTTCTTGGCTAACTTTTCTATTTACACCAGCGACGCCATTAAGTATCTCACCGAATCTCTTCAGTCTGTCAGTGAATTAGAGCTGGAAGATGCCATCGAGAACATCATTGAAGCTGTTGAAAAACAGCCTTGTAAGTAACCATTTGTTTCAATGCCTTCTAATTTCATTCTGCCCTTGTCATACTAGTTTTACAGAAATAAGCATCCTAGCAGCTTACACACTAAGTCAGGGGTGGTCAGCTTGTGGCACATGTGCTACAAATGACATGGGTAGCATGGCAGATTGAGGCCCTGGGGGACGGAGCACAGTGGCAGATAGGGCAAAAAGCAGAACAGCAGATTGGGCAGGGGAAGGAGATCGGGGGGGTGGGGAGAAGAGCGTGGGGGAGAAGGTCAGTGCTTGCCAAAAATGTTGGCCGCTGCTGCACTAAGGTGTCATTTTAGATCTATTGACATCCTGTTTTGCTGAATGTCGAGGTTTATCATGTTGATAGTAGCCACTGTAATCTTTCCACTGACAAAATTCAGCAGCTCTTTCTTCTTACTGTCTTAGAAGGACCAAAGCCTGTATCACAAGGCAACTGAGACTGTATTGTAGCTTTTTCCAAGTTCCTTTTTAACATACTTCCATATATTTGAGCACTAGTATGTGTGTGCCTGTGTCTTTGCATCTGAAACTGTAACATTTAAACCCTTGAAATATAGCCTAGAGCATTCATGGTGGCTGAGAAATGAATCCAGTAGATTTCGGGCCCAAATCTACCACATGATTTAGGCAAAATGTAGTTACCTAAATCCAAAAGTGCTCTCCATAAATCCCCCACCTAACACCTTCAGCATGTGAAAGTCTCTAGACACCGACGTCTTTGCCAGTAAAGCTTCCTAGATAACAAGAAATATCTTTCTGTGCATGCCCAGAACTCCCACAATCTTGGTAGAGCTGTGCTGAACTCTGACTGGGATCCACAAATTAGATGTTCCTATACTAAAGCCCTCTGAGGGTCCCAGTCCAGTAGCCATGCTCAGAGTCTATTTTTATGCATTATGTTCATCAGTTACTGGGTAAAATGCATCAATAGCCTTGGGAGCAGGGCCCCAAGATCCAGGATTCACTGTTCCCAAAGGAAAGTCCTCATTGCTGCAAAGTCATGCTCACTCTTGCTTTTATTTCCTTGTGCTATGAATCTTGCATTCTTTGCTGTATGGTATTCCAGTTTCAAGAGTAAGGGTAGAAAGTGCCCCATTGTAGCCTGATGGTTAGAAAACTACCCTGGGAGGCAGAAGATGTAGGTTTGAACCCCCTCAGGGTGAGGAGATCATCGGACCCAGGTTTCCCGCTTCTTGGGCATATGGTGTACCCACAATGTTATTATATAAAAGATGGGTACCATCATACCATCTGTTTGGTTTTGTTTTTTTTTTCCTTTTTGAGAGAGCGCCAATCGGCCATACCCAGAGGGGTGGATAGCTTAGGAGCCTAAGTCCAGCAAAGAGTCTGGGGCTCTGAATTCTAAACTCACGTAGGTGCCTAACTTAGAGCTTCAGAGGGATCAGCAGGAGGTGTGACTTCAGACAAACCACTTTTTTCAGCATTTCCTATTGGCTTGCTAAGGTGCATTCTTGCACATCCATTCCTAGGCACCTAATTCCCCCTGTGTATTGTACAGGGTGCTAAGACCCTTAGCTTGAGGTTGTGAGTTCCTCTCTGGAAGCCTGATAGGTAGGTGTGGTGACTCTGAGTATTACTGTACCTCATTCTTTTGTGGATCTTGACCTGGGTGCTTCCTCTGAGACCCAACGAACTGTACACTTCTCCCATGGGGAGGCAGCATTTATATTTTAATTCTGTTCTCAAGTGAACATTCTGTACAATTTAACTTCAAGATTGTGTTAACCTCTCTAAAAATTAAGGGTAACAGTAATCCCCTCTAACAAGGGGAGACTGGATAGGCACCTGGCTGGGGTCTTATGGTTGATTGATTCTATGATTCTAAGATTCTGGAACAGTGAGCCTGCAGACTATGAGAACTCAAATCTGATGTTTGGTAGGATACTTGGAGGAGTTTACAGGGACTGACTGTAATAGTCTTGTTCTAATTTCTCAGTAAATTAACTATGGCTGCTGTATGATCTTTTGTGTAGAGTTATAGTTTTCTGGTATGGATATTTAGTGAATAGCATGTAGATACCTTCTATAGAAAAATTAGGATGTCGGTAACTTCCTGAAAATGTAGTTATTTGTAAAACATTTATCTGATGATGAGTGAGAGAGAATATTGAACCATTTTTATAAAATATTTGAGGCTTACTTAATGTGGTGGTTGTCATTTTCCATAGTCTCTAGTTTTAATTTTCTAAAATCTTCTTTTCAGTGTCAACCAATATGATTGAACTATCCACAGTGGAAGCAGCAGTCCAGGAATGTAGCCAGTCATTAGATGAAACGATGTACGGTGACATACACTTATTTTTATTTGACGTTTATGGTAGATGGAGGAAATGGTTCTCTTCTTGAGGAAATAAATGTCAGACACTTTCTGTAGTGCTAAGCAGGCAGTAATTCCTCCGTTTTGCTTTTAAAACTTGGTAATGTTCTTTCTTTGGAAATCAGTTCCGAGAGAGAGAACTGTAATGCAGTTCTTACATTCTGAAATTAAAAAGATACTGCTTTTTGTTACATATGAATAATCATCTGTGAAGATATGTAAATAGACATTTTTTGGAATTACCTTTATTTCTGTATGTGCTTACGTTGAACTTTGATTTCTTCTGATTAGAATCAGTCATATTATTATTCTGCTTTTCTTATCATATCTTTTTTATCTTGAAATACTTTACAGCAGTTTTTTCCCAAGTGGCCACTTATTTTGCTTTTACGAGGCTTACTAGCTTTTGAAAGCTATATCCCATTTTCAAGCTCAGATAAATAAGTGGTATTAATTATTTGGGCTGCTGAGAGTATTGTCTGTATCTGTAAGATAAATATTGGTTTAACGTTTATTTGTAATGTTTTGAGGCTAGCAATGCAAACTAACTAAAGCAGGTAATATATTAAATCAGTCAATAAAGTAGTGTAACTCATAGTTTCTATGTAAGTGGGCATGGTCCCATTTGACTATGAATATATTATTTTCTGCCCATTTATGAGAACCTTAAAAACATAGTTTGTGTGTGATTTCCCCCCCCCCCTTCACATCTGTTTTATAACACATGCACAGTAGTTCACATGTGTTTAGGCCTGGATTTTGAAAAGAAATCTGTAGGGCTAGATCCTCATGGCAGAGTCCTGCTAAGGCCAATAGAACTCCATAGGCCAAAGGGTCCAACTGTTTGAATCTTGTGAATTCTGTTATGATAAAGACAAAGCCTCTATAAGGGAGGTGTGTTGGACCAACACTTCTGCAGTTCTCTGGTCAGTGAATGTTTTGTGCTTTTAAGCTTCAGTTACTGCTGACATTAAAGGTCAACGTAATTGTTGTCTACTCTGAAGTTGATCTAGTTGCCATGTGGTAACAAGATATACTAGAGAATGGAGATCAACCAGTAAATTCCGTGGTGGATAACATTTCTCTTAAATGTTCCAATAAGATGTACAAATACCTAGTAGCCACTATTTAAACATTCATATATTTTCAAGCAAGGTACTAATATAAATTCATAAAGAAAGAAACGAGCATGTTATATATTTGCAAAAATTCTGTAAATAAGAAGCTGATACAGTGGCTGGGATATGGGCAGGAAACTGAAAGGGAAGAAGGATGTAAGAGTTAGCTGGTTTTTTGTTTTGTTTTTTATATGAGAATGTTTCTGTTGGACACTGAAATTAACTATTCTTTGAAATAGACCTTTCCTCAAATAAAGATTTACATTATTGTGATTTCAGAGAAAACGTTTTCAGTATTATCGGGGCCTTTGATGTTCCACGTTATATTTATAATTCAGAAAGGAAGAAGTTTCTACCGTAAGTCTTTCCTGTCTTAAATTTCACCTGCTTGTTTATAAAGTCTTCATTTTTGTGTGGTTAAAGTTGCTTTCTCAAAACTCTTACTCTTGGATCCTTGCTGGCGTCTTGATTGGTGATGTGGGAACACTGCTTTTCTGGAACTTTGATTACAACAAACTTTTTTTGAGAGACAGAAGAGGTTTTTCCCCTAAGTAGGATTTATGTTTTCTGTACACGATTGAATGGGTTCATTAGGTTAGCCTGCTTTATCATCTTGGTAAACATTGATAAGCAAGTATATAGATACTTTTGGACTACTGGTCATAGAATCATAGAAGTAGGGTCGGAAGGGACCTTATAGATCTTCAAGTCTGACCCCCTGCCAAGGCAGGAGAAAAAACTGGGCTCAAATGATCCCAGCTAGGTAGGCATCAAGCCTCCTCTTAAAGACCCCCAGGGTAGGAGCCAGCACCACTTCCCTTGGAAGTTGGTTCCAGAATTTCGTCAAGTCTCTTTCAATAACATCATAGAAAAATAAGCCTGGAAGACATCAAGATATCACTTGCTCCAACCCTCTCCTCAAGTCAGGATTCTGTCCGCTTTAAACTGTCCTAAACAAATATTTGTCCAGTCTGCATTTAAACACTCAGTAATGTAAATTCCACAGTCTCCAAGTCATACTTTTGCAGTTCTCAGCTACCCTCAGAGTGAAAAAGGTCTCTTGATATCCAACCTAAGTCTCCCTTGTTGCAGTCTAAGCCCATTACTACTTGCCCTGTCCCCTTATGGATAAAGCAGACAGTTGTGCAGCATCCTCTTTATAACAACCCATTTTGTTTTTGAAGACTAGCACTATCCCCTCAGTCTTTTCTTCTCTAAGCTAAATATTTCCTGTTCTTCCAGCTCTTCCACACATCTTGTTTTCTAGACCTCTGATCATTTTTGTTGCTCTCCTTTGCATTCTCCCCAATTTGTCCACTGCTTTCATCTCTTATGTCCTGTTATAACATATAGTGCAGCTTATGATGCTGTTGGCTCTAGGCTATATGTGTTTAGCAGTCAGGAAACATGGTTAGTTATATGTTGTTATGTGATATTTGGTGAACAAAGGGGCAGAAGTCCATGTAACGTTCAATCTATCTCCATAGATGAGATTTCTTTCATGCCTGAATGAATGTTTATTTTCTGTGTCTAATTTTTAATAAATTCTATAGATCCATTGCTTATGGTACAGCAGATAATAATCTTTTTTTTCCAGTTAGCTGATCATTGTGAATAAAATATATCTATTTTCCTTTGAAGCGCAACTCTGTTAGCTTTAGTTTTGGATTCTGCTGGACTAATAAAAGCATTCTACATGTTTGCTGTAGAAATCTAATTTTGAATCTGATTCTATAGCTTTAGAGGATGGGGAGGGGGATATGAGAATCCTGTTAAAACGTGTTACGTCAGAGGAAAGAGAATACCTTTATTTAAGCCATTTATAGAATGGAGTTCTGGAAAATGCTGTTCCAGTAGAAAGACATAATGTAGATCTGCAAGATGACAAGGTTAAAGATGGGGAAATTAGTGTAATTGTCACTATGCATAAGCATAAAGATCTCTAGCAGAAAACTCTCTCATTGCACAAATAATATAATAATATGTAATAACATTGGTAACTGTAATTTCCTACTTCCTTAGAGATTTAGATTAATAAATCATTATTGTTTTTTGATTGTGTCTGGTTTAAGCATGACTTGAATTTTTTTCCAGTCTATCAATGACTAGCCATCCTCCACCAAATTTATTTGGAACCGCCAGGGATAAAGCAGAGTTGTTTCGTGAACGATATACTATATTGCAGCAGGTAAGAAAAAGGTTTTGACTTCTTTTAATGAAAGACAAGAATGAAGTGCAGCGTTCTGAGACAGATCATAATACGTAGAGCAAGGCATCAATGTGGGCTGCTAGTGTCACCCTTAGTTGTCAACTTAATAAAAGTCAGGATATATACCAAATTGCATTGACTTTCCTTTGAAATTTTGCAGCCTATGGGATTCTGATGTGTATCGGTATCTTATTTAGTGTCATGTTTAAAGAGTAAACCGTGAATAGCATTCAGAATAACAACCAGCCTTTTAAGTCAGTGCTGAATGTGTCAAACTGCATCTATCTTCAACTTTTTAAAATTTAAGGGAAACTGTAAATAACTGTCCTGCTGGGTTGTGGGCAGCCATTGGGGATCAAAGTACCAACCAGGGTCAGGAGGAGTGAGCAGAATCCAGGGACAAGCCAGATTAGGAAGCCGGTAGGTCAGTCTGGGAGCAGGGTTTAGGAGCAAGCCAAGTCCAGAGGCCAGGAAATCAAGCAGAGAGTCAGAGCATAAGCCAAAGAGAGCAGCAAAGTGGTCTGGGTTCAAGTTGAGCCCTGTTGCCGTTCCACTTCCTGTGTAGGGGTTTATATGGGAGAAATGGAGGATTGGCTGATGCCAGCTAGCCACTCTGGTGGGATTAGGCCCTGCTGGAGGTTTCAGCCCATCTTGAATCGGTTTTGTCAATCAGCCATAGGGTAGCAGCCTGGGAAGAGCAGGTTGGACAGGTTGAGGCCCCAAGTTCGAGGCCATGGCCTGATAATAACAAGCTTCATGTCCAGATGACATGGCAGCCTGCACCTTGGTTGGTAATAACAGGTCCCAGAATTACTAACTAATTTCAGCTAGTAGTGCAGGACCCACTCTGCCTTTGTCACCACCTGACTGGACTCATACAACGTGCTTCATTTGGACTTATTGGAAGCTTTAAGTAATGCAGATGGACTAATCTGAATCAGGAAAATTTGTGCATGTGAGTGTACTCTCTAGGCTCCATGAACTGTACTTAATACAGCTCAACACACTGGTTCTCCTCTGTGTGGTTCTAGGTGATATGGAACATAGAGGCCATAATTTTTCATAGGCAAGTTCATGATATTTGCAGTAGACTGGGGAGCATTTTCCTCATAGTGACTGAATCCTGGAAGCAAGGTGTTTTCAGTAGATGGCTTTGGCAATGGAACCTGCTCCTTCTTGTTTATCAGATCTCTGAACAGATTACCTGATTTAATTAAGTCCAAGATGACCCCCCAGTAATTTGATTCTGTACATAGAAAATGTATAAATTTGTTTATAATTTTCCAGGTATGGAATCTAAGTTTTAGAAAGTCCTCTTTAGTCCCTCTCATAGCTACAGCAGGGAAAGCAGCAGCCAGGGGGCAGGCGGCTGGGGTGGGGAGAGTCCCTTGTTGTCTCTCCCTACCCTGACTTCTTCCTCCTGCAGCCTGCCCCTTACCCCGTACCCATGGTGCCTATACTCTCTGCTGCATGCTCCCCGCCATGCCTGCCTCCTGTAGCCTTTGCCCCCCTGCTTCTTACAGCCTCTGCCCCACCCCCGTCAGACATGGCCTTAGTTCCATTCCCCAAGCATGGAGCAGAGGGAAATGCAGCCCTTGTCTGGCCCTGCAGCAGTGTCCTGGGGTCAGAACTGCACCACTGCTGGTTGGCTGGGCAGGAGATGAAGTTTCCATGTGCTCCATGACCCAGGGGTGAATGGAGCTGGAGCCATGCCCAACTATAAGGAGAGGGAGAGGGGGCAGAGGCTGCAAGGGCAAGCTGGGGGAAGGAGGAGGGCTGAGTCAGGGCTGGAGTCAAACTTCAGCAGTCTCCTGCCCCCCTTCCTCCACTCTGTACACATAATCAAGAAGAGGGGGGGGTGGTAATCATCTTAGATTTGAGTAAATATGATAATCTTTAAATTGAGAAATCATAGAAGTAGTGTCGGAAGGGACCTTGTAGATCTTCAGGTCTGACCCCCCGCCTGGGCGGGAGAAAAGACTGGACTCAAATGAGTCCAGCCAGGTAGTCATCAAGCCTCTTCTTAAAGATCCCCACAGTAGGAGCCAGCACCACTTCCCTAGGAAGTTGGTTCCAGCTCCTAGCCACCCTAACTATGAAGTAGTTCTTGCGGATGTCTAATCTAAACCTACTCTCTACTAATTTGTCCATTGTCCCTTGTCATGCCAGGGGGCGCTCGGGGAAACAGTGTCTCCCCTAAACCCTTCTGGTCCCCCCTAGTGAGTTTATAGACAGTCACCAGGTCCCCCCTCAGCCTTCTCTTGTGAAGGCTGATCAGGTTTAGGTCCCGCAGCCTTTCAATGTAGGGTCTGCCCTGTAGTCCCCAGATCATGCGGGTGGCCCTCTTCTGGACCCTTTTAATGTTGTCCACATCCCTCCTGAAATGGGGCGCACAGAACTGGATGCAGTACTCCAGCTGTGGCCTGACCAGTGTTGCGTAGAGGGGGAGGATCACCTCCTTGGCCCTACTTGAGATGCACCTGTGGATGCACGACAAGGTGCGGTTAGCCCTGCCAACCGTGACCTCGCATTGTCGGCCCATGTTCATCTTGGAGTCAATAATGACTCCAAGATCCCTTTCTGCCTCCGTGCTCTCAAGAAGGGAGTTTCCCATTCTATAAGTGTGCTGCTGGTTTCTGGTGCCCAAGTCCAGCACCCTGCACTTGTCAGTATTGAAACGCATCCTGTTTATGCCAGCCCACTCCTGTAACCTATCGAGGTCTTGTTGCAATCTTTCCCTCCCTACTAGCGTGCTCACCTCACCCCAAATTTTGGTATCATCAGCAAATTTAAACAGGTTGCACTTCACCCCGTCATCCAAATCACTGATGAAGAAATTGAACAGCGCAGGCCCCAGGACCGAGCCCTGGGGGACTTTGCTGCCCATTTCCCCCCAAGTTGAATATGACCCGTCTACCACCACCCTCTGAGTGCGACCCTTCAGCCAATCTGCAGTCCATCTGACTGTGGAGGCATCAATGCCACAGTCGCCTAGTTTTTTAATGAGGATGTGGTGGGAGACGGTGTCAAAGGCCTTGCTGAAGTCTAGAAAGACTACATCCACAGTGTAGTCTTTCTAGAAATATTTTACTTATTTTTAGTCTGGCATTCATTAACCTGTGGATTGTTAATGTAGTTTGGTTTGTGTTGCAATGCAAACTATTTGAATTTTTTTTAGGCGGGGATGAATTTATTTCTTGCTACGCTTATTTTTATCAAGCGTTTAAAAATTTTCAGCTGCATACAGGCCATATAAACCAAAGAATGATGCTGTGATACTGATAAATTTTCTTTATGCTCTTTGCAATTTAATTTAAAAAATGTCGCCTGGTAAATGTCAGTCCCAGTTGTTCAAATATGTCTGTGCTTAACTTTCTAAAACATAAGCCCCTTATGCATTTACTGCTTCTCTTACATGGGTCTCTATGTATCATTTAGCTTATAGAGAGGGGCCTGCTCCCCACCCCAGCTGGGGACTCCTAATTATAAATGACACATCTTGTATGGCTTTAAAAAGTTACCTCCCAAACCTATGGTTCATTAAACTGGTCGGGGTTATGGTCTGTTGTTTGAAAGTAAATCCTTAATTAAATGTATTGTGTTCTCTAAATCAAAAGTGGTTGGTTAAAATGGAATAAAGGTAATATTCTGCATAACTTTCCTAGTGAATCCTTTTTTGGTGGTGATCATTTTTAACTAGATTACATTAATCTTGGTTTATTTAGAGGACTCACAGACATGAGCTGTTTACTCCCCCTGTGATTGGTGCTCAACCTGATGACAGCAGGAACAAATTCCAGGTAAAAAATAGTATTTTCTTGGGGTGACACAGGAATGTGACGGATGATGTGATACATTACATTCCCTCTTGGTACCTACATTTTAATCCCAGTATATGGAGAGTAAGTGAAGATGAGTTTAATTATTGTCTTGGTCAGCATGATGGAAACGCTCGTAACTGGGCACAATTCAGCACAAAGAGCAGGCTTTTAACAGGAAGCAAAGAGAAGTGCTTCCATTATACTTGTTTTTTACCACCCATTTCTCCTTTTTAAAAGCACTGCGTTCACAAATTCAGAGCTATTGGAGCTTCAGGTAGAGAGGGTATCTTTTATTAGACCAACAAAATAATTGGAAAAAAATTGTTCTTTGCAAGCTTTTGGGCACAAACGCCCTTCTTCAGGTCTGAAGAAGGGTGCTTGTGCCCAAAAGTTTGCGAAGAACATTTTTTTCCAACTATTTAGTTGGTGTAGTAAAAGAGATCACCTTTACCCAAAGAACTTCGTCGTCTTAGGTCTTTAGACCATCACAGTTACTGTTAGCAGCAGCAGATTCTCCCAATGCCTGAAGAAGGGTGTTCGTGCCCAAAAGCTTGCAAATAACTCTTTTTCAGCTATTTAGTTGATCTAATAAAGGATATCATGTTTATCCAAATAACCTTGCCTTGGTACTGTTGACACATTTATTCAGTGGCAGGATTTGGCCCAATTTATTCCATTTTAGTCCGTTTTTTAAATAAATGTCTCCTATTTTCTTAGTTTTGATGCATGCTTAAAGTTTTTCTCCCCTTAATTCTGTGTATTTGACACTGAGAAATGTATCCTCACACTTCTAATAAGTCCGAGCCATATAATAACTAACTTAAGTATGGAAGCTGCAACAAGCACTATATAACAACTTAGCTTCCTTACTTAAGAACAGGTTTATGAAAGGTATAATTTAAATCTCTTCTTATTTACTGTCTTTGTTTCCAGCTTAAAACAATAGAATCTCTGCTTGGCAATACAGCTAAAATTGGGGAAGTGATTGTTCTAGGAATGATAACCCAGCTGAAGGAGGTAGGTCACATTTTATTGGGAGTCTTTTGAGTTGCTCTGCTTTCAGTAAACTACAGAAATGTTATGAGGTGGCCTAAACACATCACTGATATCTTGATTTTGTTCCTACTTAGGTAAATGGCAAAACTCTTTCTTACTGACTTTTGTAACACCAGTCCTTTAAATAGGACACTTTCTTAGGAAGCATTAATAATTTATGCATGAGGATAATTATTTTTCTCTTCAGAATACAGAGTACATCAACTTAATGTAAATTTGATTAGTAAGTCATCACCAGTTATTAGAGCTATTTTAATTTTATCTACAGAACCTTGAAATGTGTTTTTTGTGAACTTTTCAGTGCACATGCATACACAATTTGATTTAGAGAAGAAACAAAAATCAAAATACCTTCTCTCTGCAGCAGTTAAAGGGTGAACTTATAAATAAAATATTTTATCAGATAAGTGTTTGTTTTGATTCTCTAATTTCACAGTGTTTTAAAAATAAGCTCATTTGTTTAAATCGTTCCTAGATGCATAAGCTGGAAGCCTATTCTGATATGTTTTTTTCAAGGCTCTAGTCAAATTGAAACTAAAGTGTTTTCTAAATGTAAATAACCTACATGCTTTCTCTTGACTAAATTCAATAAGTATTTTCTTCTTTATAGGGGCCAAAACCATAAAATATGAGTGCTATGCTTAAAACAGCTCTGGTTCTGTCACTAATACAATATTTTGGCTAATGGCAAAGCTGTACAGTTGGAGGCTTGGTTTTGGGAACTGGCTTGTTTTTCATGAACTAACACAATGGCAAATCATTTTTTATTTATGTTTTTTTATGAAGAAGCCAGGGATATATTTTTTTCCTGGCTGGGTAATCCATTTTTTGAAAACGGTTTGGAAAGTTGAGTGTGATATCTCCTTTGTCCAACATTTAAATAAAGGGAATTTGCCAGTTAGAAAAGAATGGTTAGTTACATGTTGTTATATGAACAAAGGGACAGGAGTCTATGTAACGTTAAATCTATCTCCCTCGATGAGATTGCATTCGTGCCTTAAAACCATATTTGTTTATTTTCTGTGTCTAATTTTTCATAAACTCCATAGACATTTTTTATGATACAGCATTTAATAATCTCTTTTTTTCTAGTTAGCTGATTGTTGTAAAGAAATTATAACTTGTAAACTAGCAAGTTATACCTACCAAGTGTAGGGGAAAGATTGATTTTTCTCCTAATGCATTTTCTGGTATGTAACTGCATGGTACTTGCTGGGAAATTATATCTAATTTGCTTCTCTTTGATTCTGGAAGATTCCAACATTAGTGTGCACTTCATTTTGCATCTTTCTAGAAAATGGTAGCATATTTATATTGACCCAGTGGTATAGAATGTGGATTTAATATTGGGGTTTTTTTGTTTTGTTTTGTTTTGTAGGGAAAATTTTTCTTGGAAGATCCTACAGGGGTTGTCCAACTGGAGCTTAGTAAAGCAATATCCTTTAGATGTCACGTAAGGGTTTAAGAAAATTTCAGGAAAAAAATGCTGCAAAATGATATAATTTGGAAATTACTTTTTAAAGGATACGTTTTGCTGCAAACTTACCTTTTCCCCATGCTAGTAACTGAGTTGCTATAGTTAAAAAATATTTCAGAAAGGACCTTTTGCCATGTGTTAGAATTTACCTTCCTATTCCCATGAGATTTATCCTGCCAGCTACCAGATGATCACCTGAGTCTCGTGCAGCCTGCAGTGTTTCTGGCCTTATTTACACCAAAACAAAACAAACTTTAGTTAGAGAACCTAGATTTAAAAGGTTTTTGAAACAAAACATGCTCCCATATAACAAGAGTATCATTTCCTAACTGCTTTGCACCAGTTCCACAGCGGCTTGTACACTGAGTCATGCTTTGTTTTGGCTGAAGGTAAAGTGGATGTTTTTTGTTAATTAATAATGTGTTATCTCTCTCTTTGGACTGTTGCAATAACAATATATTCTGGGGGTGGTGTCAAAAAAAGTGAAAGATTTATGTCATTGTTTATGTTCGTGGGACTTGTCCCTGGATTGAATGGGTGATTGGAAACTAGATCCTGAACTTGGATCTCTTGGAGGTCTTGATACATCCAATTCCCATGAAGTCAACTGTATCTAGAGCTGCTCAGCATCTCTCAGGCTTGGGTCCTTGGTTTGTGTGGATAGGACATTCATGAAAAGAAACATAGTTAAATTATAAATTGTCGAACAAATTAATAATTGAGTAAAACATTCAACAACATTGAAAATACTGTGTTTTGTTGACAGTGTCCCAGTCTTTCAGACACCTTGATGGGACTTGTTAGAAAGGCACATTTTTACCAAGGATTTGTATGGCTAGGGACTCAGATGTTTTGTAGTAAACTTCTATGGTGACTTGATTTAGAAATTTGTTATTAGAAGGATTTTAATTCATAAATAGCTGTAACCCCAAAATGCATTATAACAACATATATCGTATCACCATCTTATTTTATGGTAATGTACCAGTATAAAGTTGTTTTAAAAACAATATTCTAATGAAGTATGGAAGATAAAAGAAAGGATGGATGTTTGGCTAAATTGTCTTTCTTATTCTGTACTCTTGTTCTTTACACAGAAGGAGCAATTTTAAAATAAGGTACAGTGTCACTAAAGATACTAAAGAGTGTTTCCATTTTTTTAAAACCTTCTAGGTTGGTATGAGGATCAAGTATTTCATGTGAATGCTTTTGGATTTCCACCCACTGAGCCTTCAGCTACCACAAGGTATAAAACTGACTTTAATGACTTCATTCTGACTTCATATTTTAACATAGGAACATGGAGTTGGAAGGCACCTGCTGTGCTATCAAATCCAGTCCCCTGTGCTCACAGGCAGTCATTTACTCAGTGAATTTCCCCAAACCCTCAAATACAGCTGCAAGTTACATTACCTGAAACAGCAAGAATACCCTATAACATGCCATAGCTAAAAGCCGGGGAGATGAAGTCACTTTAAAATGATAGTGTCTGTTTATAGACGTTACATTTTCCTAGGTTTAATTCGGACGGTAGCTCTCACATGGGGACATCTGTAGTCCAAATTCAAATTAGCTCCAGTCTGAATTAACTAATCCTCATTGAATGAGGATTAAAGTTAATGCAGACTAGGGCAGTCTGAATTAGGCAATGTAAACTGTATTAATTAACATGTATATACAGCATTGCTTTTAGGAAAAAAAAAGTCTAGGAAGTCGGATAAGTATTGCAAATATCAGTCTCCTCAAGGGAAACTCAGTTGGATTTTTGCAATATAACTGAGGCACAAAGCAACACCTTCACAAGGTCAAATGTGCCAATACCACCTCACCCTGAGTAAGTATCAGGTCAGTCGCACAGCACTGAAGATAACTACAGTATAGCAGTGCTTAAATAGGCTGATTATCGCCTTCTAATTACTTCCAACCTGCATAAGATAACACACAGAGGCTGGATTTGTTAAGGGGCTGTCAATGATTGCCCATTTAACCCTTAATTTAATTGAAATTTGATTTTAACCACGTGATGCAAATCAGTTAACACAGTTTAGAATGCTGAGCATTTCTACAAAAGGCCAGTATTGTTATTTGTATAGCATTCAATCATGTGTATGTCTGTCTTTTAAAAATAAAAATGGGAAAGCAAAGCTGGACTTGCTGGTCTGTTTGGATCTGACTGGAAGTGTGTTGCATTAGGGGAAGACTTTCAGTGGCCAGTGGATAGGGCCACTCGTGTTATAGTACTGATGATGATCTAAGTACTATATGCTGATGCTCAAGCCCTGGGCTGTGGGCCAGTCTAGCCTGTGGGGCTCCCCACAGGTCAGGAAATCTGGCAGTGGGGGAGCAGCAGCAATTAATACTTCCTCTCCTCCCCCCACTGCCAAATTTTTATGGTTCCTCCCACCCCAAACACACACAGCCCACTTGGGGCCTGACCACATCCCCTTCTCTGCTCCTACCCCCCTGCAGCTGGGTTTGGACTGAGCCCCACTTGCCCCCCCTGTGTGGCTAGATCAGATGTGGGCTGCCCACTGCCCCCTCTATGCAGCTGGCTTGACCCCACCATACCTTGCCCCATCCTGCACACCAGAGCTAGTCCACTAGCTGGATTTGACTTGCAGACAGACTGGGCACTGGCCCTCAGGGCCAAAACATTGGCATCACTGATCTAAGCCCTTTGGGCTTGGAGTTTTGGATAACTACTGCAAGGGAATGAGAATAAGGGGATGAATATGAAGAATGCCAGGACCATTGATAAAGGATGACAAGGCAAAACTTCATGATCCTCTTTCTATATACACGCGCACATGCAGCACAAAAGTTCATTTTCTAGTTAGGGTTATTTATATAGCAAAAGTTTATAGTGATGGGGTATGAGTCAGAAACAGGAGTGATTTAGGAAGAAAATGGGATTAGCTTAAAAATGACAAAAATGCTTTTATTATGTAGGGCATATTATGGGAACATAAACTTTTTTGGAGGGCCTTGCTCAACTTCAGTAAAAGCATCTGCAAAACTGAAACAACTGGAAGATGAAAATGTAGATGCCATGTTTGTCTTTGTTTCTGATGTTTGGCTGGACCAAGCAGAAGTGTTAGAAAAGCTTCACACTATGTTTTCAGGTAGGTGCAATATTCTGTCTTTTTATGTGATTCTTAATTTTAAGGAGGTTTAACCTAATTGGCTTTGTATAGCTTGGTGCCCGAGCAGGTTAAACATGCTGTTTTGCCAAGAAGTGCTAGTATTTTTATTTAAAGGTGTATTACTAAAACCAATCTGGCATTTTTAAACAGATGCTAAGAAAAGCAATCAGGGCTTGTGGCAGAGGTGATAACTTTTATTAGACCAGCTCGAATTTTTTTTTTCCAGAAAAAAATCTTTAATTGCGAGCTTTCAGGTGCAGACAAAGCAATGACAGTCCAGTGGCCACATAGTTACTGACTGTCTGCTTTTAGAGGTCTTGCTGTCATCATCATGAACGTGTCACTGAACAGTCTTCAGAGAGAGAAATAGAGGGAGGTCTTGTATGTGTGATATTTCGTAGTGCCTCACCAAACCTGTGCCCAAACCATTCTCTAAGTCACGTGTTCCCACATTGGCTTATGGGCCACTGGTGGTCTGCAGCTGGTCAGCTGATTCAAGCAATTAAATGTTTGATGACAAGGGTGCACGGGCGTCTGCTAGAAATGTTGAGGGTCGACAGTAAACTGTTATCTGTAAAGTTTGGGAACCATTGCTCTAAGAGGCTGCTACTGCATTTCACAGCTGGTATTATCCTTCTTATTTGGATCACTCTCTAACAGGTTAGAAAATGTTGCATTTTTGCAAAAGGTTTTGAGTTCACAAACCTCTCCATGTGTCACTTCGTACCTGTATTGTTTTGGATTATAGCCATTTTGCATAGTGTGGCAATAGTGTTATGTTGGCACATGAAAAACTTTCTCTGAGGATTACGCCAGTTCACAAACATTGAAACATTTATGAAGTTTTGTTTAAAAAACCTTTACTTTTTCAAGTTCTGTGGGCCCCCAAAACTGGACACTACAGAAAGGATGTGGACAAGTTGGAGTTCAGCGGAGGGAAATGAAAATGGTTTGGGGGCTGGGACACATGACTTGTGAGGAGAGGCTGAGGGCACTGGGTTTATTGAGTCTGGAGAAGAGAAGACTGAGGGGGGATTTGATAGCAGCCTTCAACTCCCTGCAGGGCGGTTGCAAAGAGGACGGAGCTGGACTGTTTTCAGTGGAGGCAGATGGCAGGACAAGGTGCAATGGGCTCCAGTTGCAGCAAGGGAAGTTGAGGTCATATATTAGGAAAAACTTTCTCACTAAGATGGAAGTAAAGCGCTGGAACAGGTTACCTAGAGAGGTGGTGGAGTCTCCATCCTTGGAGGTGTTTAAGACCCAGGTAGACAAAGCCTTGGCTGGGATGATCTAGTTGGGGCTGGTTCTGCTTTGAGCAGGGGCTCAGACTAAATCACTGTTTCTCAAGCAATGAGTTGTGACCCAAAAGTGGGTTGCAAGAATATATAGTTTCATAGATTAAAGGTCGGAAGGGACCTAGTAGATCTTCTAGCCCGACCCCCCACCAGGGCGGGAGAAAAACAAAACCCCAAAACAAGAAACGGGACTCAAATGAGTCCAGCCACGTAGGCATCCAGCCTCTTCTTAAAGACCCCCAGGGTAGGGGCCAGCACCACTTCCCTTGGAAGTTGGTTCCAGCTCCTAGCCGCCCTAACTGTGAAGTAGTTTTTGCGGATGTCCAATCTATACCTCCTCTCCATCAGCTTGTGCCCATTACTCCTTGTTATGCCAGCGGGCGCTAGGGGAAACAGCGTCTCCCCCAAACCCTTCTGGTCCCCCCTAGTGAGTCTATAGACGGTCACCAGGTCCCCCCTCAGCCTTCTCTTGTGGAGGCTGAATAGGTTCAGGTCCCGCAGTCTCTCACTGTAGGGTCTGCCCTGTTGTCCCCGGATCATGCGGGTGGCCCTCCTCTGGACCCTCTCCATGTTGTCCACATCCCTCTTGAAATGGGGCGCACAGAACTGGACACAATACTCCAGCTGTGGCCTGACCAGCGTCGCGTAGAGGGGGAGGATCACCTCCTTGGCTCTACTCGAGATGCACCTGTGGATGCACGACAAGGTCCGGTTAGCCCTGCCAACCATGACCTCGCATTGTCGGCCCATGTTCATCTTGGAGTCAGTAATGACTCCAAGATCTCTTTCTGCCTCCGTGCTCTCGAGTAGGGAGTTCCCCACTGTGTAATATGAAAGGGTCATGAACAAACTTTAAAAATGGATTCTCCTTTAAAGAAGAAAAATGTAGGAAACTGCAGGTTTTCTCTTGCAGGCTGGCAGAGTTCCTTTCCAACCCTACCAACTATGAAACTATGACAAATACTGATAGCAACCTTGAAGTGAAGTGAATAAACTTCAGATTGCACGTGATAAAGGGACTCTAGTCAGTGAAGTTGTTATATTGAGTCAATGGCATAACTAGGGTGGGGTGAACAGGACAATGACTTTGGGGTAGGGAAAAAAAGCGGTTGCTGCCAGTAGCTACATGATCACAATTGTGATTACACAGAAAGTGGAAATTGCTGCTCCTCTGCCTGCAGGAGTGCTTGTCTGCATCCCTATGCTACTGTACTGAGTCGTACTTTTCAAGATGTATCTAACAACTTCGCTGCTTCAAAAATTAGATTAAAGAGAAGGACTTACACAAAAGACTAATACATTACACTTTTAAACCTACAGAAATATTTTTCTTTTTATGAGAGAGAATGATTAGGAGCTAAATTCATTTCCCTTGGTGTAACCAATTCATTTATAAAGTATTGAAATTCCCTCTTGTTAAAGAGGGGGATGTACATATGTATATAATATGCTAGTATACAATATGCTATATGTATACATTTGCCTTTCATAATATTTTAAAGAGAAATAATATGCTTTTAAAATTGTGTTATGTTTTTATATATTTGGTATAATTATCATATGTGATTTCTTGTGTCTGCTAACCAGTGACCAAATCTGTTCCCCTTGAAGGTGAAATAGACCCTGTCATTGACAGTGGTAATAGAAGATTTGCTGTTAATAAAGTGGTACATCTTAGTCCTCTCTGTTTCCAACTCATCTACTAAATTCCTGCATTAAAAAATTGTGTATCTACACTAGGAGTGACAAAGCACTGTCCAAGTTTCTGACCCTAATGGAATGGATGAGAAGGTAAACTATTCGTCAGTGAGAAATAGTAAAGCAAAAGTAATTGTGACGAATTATTCATGTGTCTTTCCCAGGTTATTCTGCTGCACCTCCAACTTGCTTTTTCTTTTGTGGAAATTTTTCATCTGCGCCGTATGGGAATAATCAGATTCAGTCACTAAAAGGTATGTAAGTCTGTAGGCATATTTACTGCTAATTAAAGTGGGCAACATATTAATGATGCAAGCAATTTAATAGTGAAAAAAAAATTTTGTTTTTAAAAGTGACAGGAATTTGACATGTTACATTCCATTTACTATACAAAACTTGTGTAAACCGATTGTCCAGCCAGGTACAATATCCTAGAAAAAAAAAAAAGAACCTCTGCATTTTTTCTGACTCTAGGTTCCCTGAAGACTCTTGCAGACATAATTTGTGAATATCCCAACATTCATAAAAGGTAAGTGTCCAACTCTTGTGTAACAATAATGTTTGCTGTGTGAAAAATGTTAACGGAATAGTGCTACTGGCTTTCAAAAATTAAAGACGGCAAGTTTCTTAAATAGTATAGGCTATCTGTGATCATGGAGTCTTCCATGCCTTGAAACAAGGCCATATCATTATTTTGGAAGTGTATAAGGTTTTGACTGAGCCTCTAACGGCTTTTTACAGTGATTGAATATTTGAATAAAAGTGAAACCAATTCTCTATCTCTGGACTTTTTTCTCCAGGAGCAGTCATGGGAATTAACTAGTTATAACTAGTTATAAAGTTAAAGAAATGGCTAACTTTAGTTAAATTTTTTCAGCTGTCAACTTTTAACTAGTTTAAAAAAAGGTTAACTTTAACTTTTTTTAAAGTATAAGTTAAAAAAAATGAAATATGGCTTTCCCAGAGTTTTTCCTGACACAGCCACTCACTAAGATTTACATGGAACGATATTTCTTTATTGAAACTCTAGGACTTCTTGTTTGAGAGACGGAGAATAGTGTGCCTTCCTGTGAGAGACGGTCTCTTCAGAACTACAAGTCCCAGAGTTCCGTAGTTCATGCTAAAAACTAGAACTCTTGGTTCCAAAATGATACCTTTTATTAGACCAACTGGAAAATGGCAAGAAAATTGTCCTTTTCTGCAAGCTTTTGGGATCAAAGTCCCTTTGTGAGGCTCTGGTAAAAGTGTAGATGGTACAAGATGGTAAAAAGTCCCCGTAGGTAGGAAACAAACTTCATTTTTGCGCAGAGGGAGCTGAAGATGGAAGTCTGTCCCTCTGGGTCCATGAGAGTGTCTTTGTGAGCTGTGTTGAGTAGCTCTTTAGTTCATGCTGGCATTTTCTGTGTATTTGCAGAAGTCAACAGGGCAGCTAGTTGGCTGCAGGAGAGGGAACAAGCACAAGCAAGCGGAGACATTGATCCCAGTAAGAGTGGGAGCAAGTAGTGAGGGTGAAGCAGATGATGACTTTTTTAATTTTAATGAAGATCAGAACCAGCAGCCCAGGGCCCAGGACATTGAGCATTACTTCTCATCTGCAACAGGGGTGTAGGTTGTAGTTGTGTTGGTCTAAAGACATAGGCAGACAAAGTTCTTAGGGTGAATCTGATATCTTTTATTAAACCAATTTAAATCGTTGGAAAACAATTTTTAAGCAAGCTTTTGGGTTCAAAAACCCTTCGTCAGGCTAAGGAAGTCTCTGCAGCTGGTGTTTGCACTTCCTGGATGGAGTGAAAAGTAAAGAAGCCAGAGGCTGGTGTGCATGCAAGACAGGTAGGTGGTGAAGATGTAGACTGAGGAGTCAGTGGGTGAGACAGGCTTGTGGGGAGGGGGAGGGAGAGGGGAAGGGGATGAATAGTGGAGAAGTACCTGGGGAGTCAAATGTCAGGCAGGTTATAATGTGTCATAAATCCAATGTCAATATTTAGTCCATGATTTTTAGTATCCAGGAGGTTGATTAAGTTGAGTTCATAGGCTCATCTCTGGGAAGTGTTTGGTAAGTTCCCTCTGAGGATCAAGACTGAGAGACTGGAGAGAGAGAGTGGTATTCTTGTGAGAAATGTGCCCCACTGGTAATTGGGTATTCCTGTCTTTGATAGATTTCCAGTGTGTATTCATTCTGGTGCGCAGTTGTTGTTTGGTCTCCTACGTATTTTCCATCGGGATGTTTGGTGCATTGGATGAGATGTATTACATTTCTGGAGGTGCAGGTGTAAGATCCAGGAATGCTGATGGCTCTGTTATGGGGTATAGTAATTGTGGGGGTGGTGGAGATGTGTTGGCAGGTTTTGCATTTCTTGTCATGGCATGCTCTGGATCCAT